TGCCAGTGCAGTCCTGTGCTGCTCTCTTGTCAGACTGCCATAAAGAAGAACAACCCCAGGAAGTACCTCCGCAGCGTGGGCGACGGGGAGACCGTGGAGTTCGACGTGGTCGAGGGAGAGAAGGTGAAGGGCCTCGGGGTGCATGTGAGGGCCCAGGGGGGCTGTGGGGTGTTGCCAGCGGCACCCCAGGGGAGGAGGGTTTCCCGGGGGCGTGCGGGGTGCTCACTGCCCTGCGGCTCTGCTCCCCCAGGGCGCGGAGGCAGCCAACGTCACAGGCCCTGGCGGGGTCCCGGTGCAAGGCAGCAAGTACGCAGCAGACCGTAACCATTACAGACGATACCCACGTCGCAGGGGTCCTCCACGCAACTACCAGCAGAACTACCAGAACAGTGAGAGTGGGGAGAAGAACGAAGGAGCAGAGAACATACCAGAAGGCCAAGCCCAGCAACGCCGTCCCTACCGCAGGCGGCGGTACCCACCTTACTACATGCGTAGGCCCTACGGGCGTCGACCACAGTATTCCAACCCTCCCGTGCAGGGAGAGATAGTGGAGGTAACGTGGTGTCTGCCTGAACTGGCTCGGTGGCTTTGGAGCAGGGTGGTGACACACGGCTTTTGTAGCTGTTCGGGATGCTTTTGGTAAGGTTTGGCAGCAAGGTGAGACAGTGGAGCAGGTGTCAGTAAGGTGAAGATCTTAATGGAACAGCTTTTAAAAAAGAGCCTGTTCCTTGTGCTGAGTTCTGTGTGATGAGCTGGAAGCAGCAGAGGGTCTGGGTGCTGCGTGCTCCCGTGCCCTGGGACTGCCACCCACCTCTTGGTGCACCCCAGGCTTCCCCTGGCAGCACCCACCTTCCCCAGCCCTGGTGGCTGCAGGGTTCCTGGGCTTCCCTGTGTGGCTGAGGTGTTTTTTTTGCCTTGTGTCTCGCAGGGTGCTGACAACCAGGGTGCAGGAGACCAAGGCAGACCCGTCAGGCAGAACATGTACCGAGGTTACAGGCCGCGGTTCCGCAGGTATGCTGCAGGTCAACGTGCTGTGGTTAGAACCCGGCCTTGTAGCGACAGAGACAGAACATGGCGCTGCTCAGGTGCTGCACTGTTAAAGCCCAGCTTGACTTTCAGGGGTCCTCCTCGTCAGAGACAGCCTAGAGAGGATGGGAACGAAGAAGATAAAGAGAACCAAGGGGACGAGACCCAAAGTCAGCAGCCACCTCAACGTCGGTACCGCCGTAACTTCAAC